GCTCACCGCAACCTCCGCCTCCTGGGTTCAGGCAATTCTCCTGCCTCACCCTCCTGAGTAGCTGGGAGTAGCTGGGATTACAGGCACGCGGCACCATGCCCAGCTGATTTTTTGTATTTTTAGTAGAGACGGGGTTTCACCATGTTGACCAGGATGGTCTTGATCTCTTGACCTCGTGATCCACCCGCCTCGGCCTCCCAAAGTGCTGGGATTACAGGCGTGAGCCACCGCGCCCGGCCGTGCCCAGCTAATTTTTTGTATTTTTAGTAGAGACGGGGTTTCACCACGTTGACCAGGATGGTCTCGATCTCCTGACCTCGTGATCCACCCGCCTCGGCCTCCCACGGTGCTGGGATTACAGGCGTGAGCCACCGCGCCCAGCCTAAACCTCTTCTTTTAAAATAGAGGAAGTGTCTGCCCAGCTAAGGGTAATCTCTCCGCCTGGGTGTGGATCCCAGCCACACCTATGTCTTCAGAAATTGCTAATTACCTTCTTTCTCCTCAGGATCCTCAAACTCCCCTTCTCTGTGAGCTGCCCTCAAGCAGTGGGGCACATGTTGAGGCTATTCCCATCTGAAATTGAAAAGCCACCTTGACCCCATGACCCTGTCCAGCTTCCTCCCTCTTCTCCCCTTTACAGCTAGATATCTCCATTTCTGACTCCTGAACTTACTCTGATATGGAGTCTGTCTTCATCACTGCAGTAAAACTGCTTTTGCTAAGCTCGCATGTGGCTCCAATCCCTAATCAGACTGTTACTACCAATCTTCCTCCTATTTGATTTCTCGAAGCTTCTGACACAAGGGATCACACTTTTAAAACATTATCTTGCTTTAACTTTAAGGACATCACACCTTATCACTGTAATTTGGCAGATTTTATCCTCACACATCATTTGTGTAAAGGATTTCCCCTCCCGATGAAGTGTGTCTCACATCAAGTCTAACCTTGGCCATGACTGGAGTATTTGCTCCTCACAAGCCTCTGCACTCCACATGCAGACCTTCCTGCCAAAGGCTTTCTTGCTTCTGTAATCACATCCAGGAACAGGGGCAATCCCTTCATGTTGCTCCACCGGAAAGTCATCTGCAGAAAGGCCAGCTTGCCGCTAGAATTTTTATCGGATGTCTTCAGAGAGAGAGACATGCTACAGCACCAGTTTCAATGAATGGGCTTCTGCTTAGAGCAGGAAATTCCATCTTGTGAACTTGTGGTTTGAAACTCAATTTGGGATGATAGTGGATCTCTCTCAGTTCATTAGAATTCTCTCCCTTTTCTCCTCTGAGCAGATTTCTAGTGAGGGCAGTGGTGGGGCGAGGCTTGGTTACCATTCTAGCATTGTCTTGTGCCTTCTTCCCTGTGGGTTCTGCTGAGAGTGTAACTGCCTGATCTCCCAGCCCAAGCAATGCACACTGATCATTTCAGGAGAGGCTGAGGGTCCTCTCCTACAGATGTGGCCTGATGGGCATTGGTCTGATGACTTGCTGAAAACTCATTGCATCTTCCTTTGCTGACAGGCTGACCACCCCCAGCGTCATTCACCTTTGACCTTGGTACTTGGTAGGCACTTCACCATTCAACTCTCTTTTGGGAACTTTTTGGATCTCCTCTAGGCCCTGTGAGATATACCTGCACGCGTCTGTGTGTGTGTGTGTGTGTATATATATACATGCTGTGTAAGGGCAGAGAAGGGAGGCGTATAGTTGGTTATCAAAGCTATAAAAGGCCCTCTCCATGCTCATTTCTCAAGGCCTGTGCATACAGGCTCAGAGCACTATTGGGCTGTCTTCTCTCAGAAACTTAGGCAGAGCCAAGTCCTTCTGCTCTTAGACCAAAATCTATCCAGCAATTTATTTTTTTTTTGCTTTTTGTTTTTTTTTGAGACGGGGTTTCGCTCTTGTTACCCAGGCTGGAGTGCAATGTCGCGATCTCGGCTCACCGCAACCTCCGTCCCCTGGGTTCACGCAATTCTTCTGCCTCAGCCTCCCGAGTAGCTGGGATTACAGGCGTGTGCCACCATGCCCAGCTAATTTTTGTATTTTGTAGAGACAGGGTTTCACCATGTTGACCAGGATGGTCTCGATCTCTTGACCTCGTGATCCACCCGTCTCGGCCTCCCAAAGTGCTGGGATTATAGGCGTGAGCCACCGCGCCGGGCCTATCCAGCAATTTATAACAGCCAACACTTCCCTCCTTGCATCTTATTTCCTGCTTCCATAGATTTTCCTAGTTATCATCTAAGTTCTCCTCTCATCCTTTCTCTCTGAACGTCTTCCCCAGCTTAGAGAGTAATTTGTCTCTGTAGGTGGGAAGGTTTTTTTTTTTTTTTTTAAATATAGATGGGGTTTCACCATATTGGTTAGGCTGGTCTTAAACTCCTGACTTTGTGATCTGCCCACCTCAGCCTCCCAAAGTGCTGGGATTACAGGCGTGAGTGCCACCACGCCTGGCCCGGAAGGTCTTTGAAAAAAAAAAGAGGCCAAAAAAATGAGGCCAGGCACAGTGACTCATGCCTATAATCCCAGCACTTTAAGAAGCTGAGGGCAGGGTGTGGTGGCTCACGCCTGTAATCCCAACACTTTGGGAGGCCGAGGTGGGTGGATCATGAGGTCAGGATTTCAAGACCAGCCTGGCCAAAATAGTGAAACTCCGTCTCTATTAAAAAAAAAAAAAAAAAAGCAGCTGCAGCAGCTGAGGCAGAAGGATTGCTTGAGATTAGGAGTTCAAAACCAGCCTGGGCAACATAGTGAAACCTTGTCTCTACAAAAAAAATAAAAAATTAGCCCATCATAGTGGTGCCTGCCTGCAGTCCCAGCTGCTTGTGGTTCAGTGTCTCTGAATCTTTACACAGACAGTCAACTTTTTAAGAATCAAAAAAGAAAAATACCTGTACATTTTTCTGCCAAGCACCTGGCTTTTGCAAATGAGTATGCCACCTTTCAGACTTTATTGCTTTTATTATAATTTAAAAAATATTTTGAAATTCAGGCTCTATTTGTTCTCCCTTCAAGGCAATGAAGCCCACGAGTGGGAGGAAGACTATAGGGCAACAAGAAAAAAGCTGAGAACATTCATTATTTTTTGAGACAGAGTCTCTGTCACCCAGGCCAGAGTGCAATGGCATGGTCTGGGCTCACTGCAACCTCCGCCTCCCAGGTTCAAGCGATTCTCTCACCTCAGCCTCCTTAGTAGCTGGGACTACAGGCGCGTGCCACCACACCGGCTAATATTTTTTATTTTTAGTAAAGATGGGGTTTCACTATGTTGGCCAGGCTGGTCTTGAACTCCGGGCCTCGTGATCCGCTTCGGCCTCCGAAAGTGCTGGGATTACAGGCGTGAGCCACGGTGCCCAGCCGTGGGAACATCCTTGATTTAAAACTCACACATATCGGCCGGGCGCGGTGGCTCAAGCCTGTAATCCCAGCACTTTGGGAGGCCGAGGCGGGTGGATCACGTGGTCAACAGATCGAGACCATCCTGGTCAACATGGTGAAACCCCGTCTCTACTAAAAATACAAAAAATTAGCTGGGCATGGTGGCACGTGCCTGTAATCCCAGCTACTGAGGAGGCTGAGGCAGGAAAATTGCCTGAGCCCAGGAGGCGGATGTTGCGGTGAGCCGGGATCGCACCATTGCACTCTAGCCTGGGTAACAAGAGTGAAACTCCGTCTCAAAAAAAAAAAAAAACAAAACAAAAAACAAAAAAAACCTCACACATATCACGCAGGTATGTGATCACAGCTTCTTCACTTGCTATGGTATGAATTCGTGAAAGGAACTGAACAGCAAATGAATTCATGAAAGGAGAAACCATGATTTCTCCATCTTTTAAACAGCCAGATTTTTGCAATCCGTCCACCCCTCTACATTTGCAGCAATTATCTGTGAAAAGGAGGAAAGAATAGCAAACTATAAGGAAAAATCATAAGCTTCAAAATTTCTTTGTGCCCCCATTTTTATGCATTTTCGTTTGGTATGACAGGAAGAGACAATACTGGTTTCTTATAATAGCTGTATTTTGATTGTTCCAGTATGCACACAAATTACCCCGTTAAACTCTGATCTTACCTAAAGTGACCGTTTTTTTGGCTTGATTATTCTGATTCAAGCATTTTTACATGAAAGTCTACATTTATTGAAAGAAACATTTCATAATTTATATCACTGTATTAAAATTAATCTTAGAGCGCACGTATACCCGAAATAGAAAACCTAACAATAAGCAAGCCAGCCGTAAGAGTACATAACTGTGGGAAATGTATAGTGTTAAAAATATATACAGAAGGAAAAAATAGCTTTAAGAGGGACAGGGTTGGGGCCCTACAGATAAAATAGGCACATTTCCACTCCACCTCCGGACATCTGCCGGTCGGAGGTAAAGTTGTTGATGTTAGGAAATCCTAGAGACAGAACGTTGTCGGAGTGGAGTCGTTCTGCTGCTGACCAAAACAGGAAGGCAATGCCTGCCTTAACTAGAGACCTAAGGAACTGCGAGAAAAGCGCAACCGCTGCGGGGCCGGGGACAGCCTCAAAGGCTGCAAGCCTCACGGCATCACGGAGCCGGGCCTCTTGTGACCTTACTGTCTACGGCTGCTGTGTAAGGGGACCGGCACCCCCGCCCTCCCGACTGCGCCGAGACCCCGACGGCCTCGGAACGCTCCCCTGGGGCACACTGAAAGCAGCGCGACACGCCGTGCCCGACACTCTACGAACATGGAGGCCGGCTTTTGTGTGTCTTGGCCCAGCTCACCCACAGGCAGTCTCAGGGCGGACACCAAAGGCCCCGCAGCTGCCGGCGGCTCAAGGTCCCCCGGGACGCCGCCCAGGAGGACTTTGCCCGCCGCGCCCGGCTGCCTCGCTTGCCCCGGCCCAGCCCCGCTGGCCTCTTCTCCCAGCGCCGCAGCTGGCCCGGCGTGGGGGTAGGGCGGCAGGAGAGCGCGGCGTCACAAAGCGAGGCCAGGACGCCTGCGGTTCCGCCGAGACTTGGGCGTCCGGGGCCAGCGGGACCTGCAGCCCGCCCTCGGGGGGCGGGAGGCACCCAACGCCCCACGCCCGCCTACTCCGCCCACCCCCGATCCCCTTAGTGGCCAGACGGGGACGCAGCGTCGCGGCCGCCCCGACGCCGCAAAGCGTCCTGGGAGCGCCGGCTCGCGCCGGAAGAACGCGAGGGCGCTCGGCGGCGGCGAGGTTATAAAAGGGAAGAAGGCGGCGGCGGGCGGAAGTGGGCGGTTCGGCTGCTCCGGGCGCTGTTGTTTGGTGTTTGGGCCTCCGGAGGGGCGTTCTCTAGAGGGCCGCCGGTGCAGGCCGCAGTGACAGGGCCGCTCGCTCCCGCGCGCCGCGCCTGTCTCCCGGTGCAGCTGTGCTCGCGGCCTGTAGGCCCAACATGGCGCAGGACGTGTCGGAGTACCTGAGCCAGAACCCGCGGGTGGCCGCCTGGGTGGAGGCGTTGCGCTGCGACGGCGAGACTGACAAACACTGGCGCCACCGCCGGGATTTTTTGCTCCGCAACGCCGGGGACCTGGCCCCCGCTGGCGGCGCTGCCTGCGCTAGCACGGATGAAGCTGCCGACGCCGAGAGCGGGACCCGGAACCGGCAGCTGCAGCAGCTCATCTCCTTTTCCATGGCCTGGGCGAACCACGTCTTCCTCGGGTGCCGGTGAGTGAGGCAGCGTCCCTAAACAGCACGCCCCATTTTGTCTGCCACCTGCAGACCGGGGCCCGTCGCGCCCTCGGCGGCACCGGCTTGGGCGGGGAAGGGGAAGTTGTGAAGCGCGGGAATCCGCAGGCCCGGCTGCCCTCTAAGGGTGAGAAGGGCGTCCCTGCGAGGAGCCGACGGGATTCCCGGACGTCTGTGTGCCCCGTGCCGTGGGGGGCTGCTGGTAGGGTTGCTGGTGTTGGCTGACCATGCTCTCGGGGACGGGCGCTAGGTTTAAGATTAGTGAGGAGGTACCCTGCCTCCCCGACCTTAGGGCGCTTGTTGATGGGGTTCCAGGAAACACTTCTTGGCGGTTGGTGCACCTTCTTGATTGCAGCCAGGAAATGCAGTTCCTGCGGCCTGTATTTGCACAGCACAAGTAGTACCTTAGAGAAAACACTTTGTTAAAGTGGCTTTTCCTTCTTTTTCAGATACCCTCAAAAAGTTATGGATAAAATACTTAGTATGGCTGAAGGCATCAAAGTGACAGATGCTCCAACCTATACAACAAGAGACGAACTGGTTGCCAAGGTGAAGAAAAGAGGGATATCGAGTAGCAATGGTTAGCAGATCATAGATGTGAACATACATAGGAGTTTAGAGCATAAGTTTGATGTAATTAGGAATGATTGTTACTAATTTTTTAACAAGCTAGAATTTTTCTAATATTATTAATAAAGTTGGAACGTTAAACCTAAACTATATATCTGTATCTTTAGGCTTTGAATTTGATAGTTTGCTTTGACTGCTTTAGATTTTGAAGTGTCTACTGTTGTCTGGTGCTGTTAATTTTTTAAAATTAGACATTCGTGATGTTATTCAACACTGTTTTAAGAAATTAATGATTCCGGCCGGGCGCGGTGGCTCAAGCCTGTAATCCCAGCACTTTGGGAGGCCGAGGCGGGTGGATCACGAGGTCAAGAGATCGAGACCATCTTGGTCAACATGGTGAAACCCCGTCTCTACTAAAAATACAAAAAACATTAGCTGGGCATGGTGGCGCGTGCCTGTAATCCCAGCTACTCAGGAGGCTGAGGCAGGAGAATTG